GACCTTGTGCTGGAGCTTAGAGGAAGCAGGACCTTGTAAGTTCAGTTTGTGTGCTGGCCTTTTAAGAGGAACAGCTGGGTCTCCAGCAGCCTCTGTTTCCCTGAGCTCCTATCTGCACTCATTTTTACAGCCCATAGATACAGAAACTTCTTTTCTAAGCTCTGAAACCCTGGGCTGGAGTCTAGTATGGGGCTAGGACCCCTTCTTCCTCTGGGTAGCCCCCACAGAGATGATCTCCCTCCTGATTAAAAAAGCAGCACATGCGGGTGCCAGACCAGCCTGTTCCATGCCTCTGCATCTCCTGCCAATCTCTGCATGCTTTCTTCTTTACTTCTCTAGTTGTAGGACTTCATTCAGCCAGCTTTCTAGCAGTTCTGGATGGTGGTTGTTCTGTATTTTAGTTGTAATTTTGATGTGGTTGTTGGAGGCGATGAGTATAGGCCAGTGGTCAGCAAATTCATTAGTCAGCAGAGCGGTTTGCCGACCACTGGTATAGGCTTTTACCTATACCACCATCTTCCATGCCTGCATGTCTTTTAAAAAATGTTTTTATTAATTTTTAGAGAGATAAGAACAATGATGAGAAAGATACATAATTGATCCACTGCCTTCTGCATGCCCACCACTGAAGATCAACCCCAAAACCTGGGCATGTGCCCCAACCAGGAATCAAACTATGGTTTCTGGGTCAATGCTCAACCACTGAGCCATACTGGCTGGGCTCTGCATGTCATTTGCCAGCATATTCCCTAATTAAAACGAATCCTTATGCCACAGACTGAATGTTTGTCCTCTCCCTCCCTTATTCATATGTTGAAATCCTAGCTCCCAAGGTGATGGTATTAGGTGGTGGGGCTTTTGGGAGATAATTAGTTCATGAGGGTGGGAGTCCTCATGAATGGGATTAATGTCCTTATAAAAACAGCCCCAAAAAGCTTCCTTGCCCTTTCTACTCTGTGAGACAGAGTGAGAAGGTGCCATCTCTGAACCAGGAAGTGGTCTCTTACCAGATACCAAATCTGCCTGTATCTTTTTTTTCTTTAAATAAATTTCTTTATTGATTAAGGTGTTACATATGTGTCCTTATTCCCCCATTCCCTCCCTATCCCCCCACTCATGCCCTCACACCCCCGCCCTCCATTGTCTGTGTCCATTCATTAGGCCCATATGCATGCATACAAGTCATTTGATTGATCTCTCCCCTTTACCCCCACCCTCCCCTACCTTTCCACCGAGGTTTGATGGTCTGATTGTCTATATCTTAATCTTGGACTTATCAGCATCCAGAAATGTGAGAAATATTTTTGTTTATAAACTACCCAGTTGATGATATTTATGTTTTACTAGCCTCAACAGACTAAGACACCTTACATGAAGTTTGATCACCCACAGTAATGGATGTACATTAAGGAGGTCTCAGAAGGCCTGTGATTATAGGTCAGGAAGCCATGTCTTTCATTCATGTCTGGAGGAGACATACTTTTAAAATAATGGTAAAATATGTAAACATTAGCCGGTGCTGCTAGTCAGGGTGAGAAAGCAGTTTGGGTTTGCAAATTGGACAGCTGCCTCTTACAGAAACTCACCTCTATTCAGATGCTTGCACCTTATAAACCTTCCCAAGATGCTCACCATCCCACATCATTGTAGAAGGGAATGCATTTCCAGTTGGAAAATTAATGCTGGCACAGAATGCATTTTCATTGTTGGTGAGTGACCCTGTGTACTACAAATAGAAATTGTTTGACAATTCTATTCAGAATGACAAGTACAGTAAATATTAATAGATGCCTAAAAGGCAGAATTGATAACTTGTCACTGAATACCTTTCTATGATTTCAGTTTTGAACCATGAGAATGGCTTACTTATTCAAAAGTTAAATACATATTTTTAAAGTTTAATTAAACAAAACCAGTGTTCTAAGGAATCACCCGAGGTGCTTGTTTTAAAATGCAGATTTTTAGGCCACACCCTCCAGATGTTCCAAGCCAATAAGAATTGGGAAATCTGCATTTTTTAAATAAGCAGCCTGTGTGATTCTGATGTAAATGGTTCCAGAACCAAGGAACTGTAGGGCAAATGACCACAGACTACATTTATGCAACAGATATATCTTTATTGAACACTGAATTCATGCATCTGTCCATTTCATAAATTATGTTTTATTATATTAAAATATAAAACACGTTTCTCATCTTCTGTGACTTGAATATTCAGCTTACTACACTGGATTTGACTTAATGTCGACCAACCATGTACAATGTGATAGAAACATTGGAAACATTTCTTGAAAACTAAGCATACAATTTGTGAGCACACTTCACAGATAGAATTTTAGATGGCCACAGAGTTAAGTTTGCACATTTAAAAGGATCTGAATCATTCATATTAATATTTTGAATTTCTTATAAATTATTCATTAGTGTAAGTTGTCTAGGCAAAGCCAAGCCATGACATTATTTATACTAAGTACCACACCTGGAACTTGTTCTGAGTTATTTAACACAGAGCACATTTTTAATGCAATAAATATTTATAGTTAGTAGTAACAAGTACAATGATAATTTACAAAATATGAGTCTAATATTTAAAACAGAACATGACATTAAACAACTTTGTACCACATATTTTTTACAACTCAATGAACTGATAATTTCAACAAATTTTATTACCTATAACCCTGCTGACTTGGGTGCAAGAAAGGTCATGCTTGAAATCAGTTAAGTGAGGTTACAGAAAAAAATTTTTTAAAAAAGAAAATTAGTTTTGCCGAAACCGGTTTGGCTCAGTGGGTAGAGCGTCGGTCTGTGGACTGAAAGGTCCCAGGTTCGATTCCGGTCAAGGGCATGTACATTGGTTGCGGGCACATCCCCAATGGGAGATGTGCAGGAGGCAGCTGGTCGATATATCTCTCTCATCGATGTTTCTATCTATCCATTTCCCTTCCTCTCTGTGAAAAATCAATAAAATATTTTAAAAAAGAAAATTAGTTTTATCTTCTTAATGTTGCACATTACCAATATCGTTATATCAATATCAATAACTAAAACTGCAGCAAAGTAATGAAAATATTTGGATTCACATGTCCAAATTATATAATGTACCACGAACACTGAAATCCTGAGTTATACCAACATTTTCAAGCTTGTCTGGGAATTAATGAGGTGTTGAATATGTGAAGTTTTACTGTCCATTAAAATGATCATTGTAAAAGACCATAAAATTATGTGTGTCCTTCCATGTCATTATATGGCTCTGGGAATTAAAAACAAAAGTGGAAAAAAGGAAAATAATCTTATCTTCTAGAATCTAGAGCATGAATATAGAGAGGGCAGAGAGATGATGGCGTCTGGGTTTATCATGGGGCACTTTGGGCTAGGCACTCAAACCTGAGCTCATGATTTGGCCCCTTAGACCAGGAAAGGTTTTTCTGTTAGAAGCTATTCAGGTAGTTTGGGTCTCTGTCATTCACTGTCATATCTTACTCTTTGGGGGTGAGGGTGGGGGAGGGGGAGTAGGGGTAAATGCCTCTACCTCTTCTTGACCTCTTTTCTCCAACTAATCCTGATTCAAAGGACTGACTGTTCTCACTTGGGTCCTCCCTCTGCCCAAGATTTTTTTTTTTCCCCTCTTAGGTTAGTCATAAAGGGGGAAAATTTTCTCAGGGCTTCTGGTTGCCACTAAATTGTGTCTCTGGAGGCAACTGAGCTAAGGGATTTCCTTGCCCACCTACTTCTTGCCTCATTTCAGCCTCTGCCTTCAGTGACTGCTTAACTTAGATGCTTAGAGACATCTTTTATGCCCTTTGTATATATTCTTTGACTTTATCACCAGTTCAAGCCTTATGACAAAATCTAGAGTAGGAAATGGGACTGTTAGGTATTGTGAACTTAATTGCTCACACGGGCTAGATTTGGGAAGCAATGCTGAGTAACGGAATGGACTTAATGTCCACAGTAATGCTCTGCTATTCAGCTATGCCTTGAGATCATGAAGTGACCTCCCTGAGCTTCATCATCTGAATACTCTTCAAGGTACTTGGGAGGACGAATAGCAATGTGCTTAGTACTGCGTTTGGCTTGTCATTGGTGCTTGGCGAAACTGAGCTCCTTTCTTTTAGCATCTCTAGAGCCACAGAACTCCATTCGGGTTTCAGACCAATGCCATATGTTTTGAAGCTTGTGTTTTTGCTTCCAAGGACTCCGCCCTTCTTATCTTACCCTTCTACTTCATTGTGACGCAGAATGCTGTTCCAACTAATATGCCTCTCTTGGGGCAACCAACAAGGACACCGTTCACCCCTTTGTGCCAAGTTAAACAGGCTTGCTTTGGGGATGACAGACTATCCTATAGCTGGGAAAAGCAATGATTAGTTCTGTTCTTCACTATCACAGAAGGAGCTATGAGAATGAATGCAATCAGATTAAGTTCAATCATATGAAATCACCTTTCTGTAGGTCACATGTAGCTCAATATCTGCAGTTTCACGTGTTTCAGCCTTATAATTTGATAGGACTTTTAATCTAATAGTAGATGGTCACTAGTAAATGTCATTTGCCAATTTCCATGATCAATGATGTAAAGCAGCTCTTGGATCAGCAGGGCAGGCCTGGATTACATGAGGCAATGAGTAGAAAAGTGCTGTACAGGCCTCGAACACTAGTTAAATGCAAAGTATTTCTTGGATTAATTGTGGACATGTACTATTTTAACCCAGGAGTTGTTAAACTTTTTAAAAACTTAGATAAATTCCAGTAACTGCATTTTTAACATGAAATTTCACAAGAGAAAAGTCTCTTCTTGATGTGCTAGTTGTTGATTACTCTAGATATGTTCAACTGGAATACTACCCTGTTTCCCCGAAAATAAGACAGTGTCTTATATTAATTTTTTTCTCCCAAAGTTGCGCTAAGTCTTATTTTCAGGGGATGTCTTATCTTTCCTTGCGCTAGGTCTTATTTTCAGAGGATGTCTTATTTTCGGGGAAACACGGTAGTATGCCCAGAGGAATATACATCCAAGTGAGGGCTGAGAGGAATGACCATCCAGATACAGAATAAAGTAGAGCTTCCTAGGGCTTGGTTTCATTGAATAGCTCATACAAAGCCTGGCCCCAGGAGAGTAAATAATTCCCTTGTCAGCTGTTAATCCATTTAGCAAAAAATTAGACAAATGTGCAAACTCTGTTCAGTTCCTCCCAGGAACCCAGGGTTAATTCTAAGCTACTCTCTAACAGTGGCTAACTCCTGGTATGGATGTGAAGGGCCCAAATGACAAGCAAGTTTGCATCCTTTCCAACTCATCACAACACAAATGCATACTATTCATTCTACTCTCAGATAGTCAGGTTCTTAGGGTGATCATCTCTATCTGGCTTCTGGGAAAGGTGACTTAGCCATTTTTTAATCCACAAATTGAGGATGTCATTCAACACGCAGTCCCCAAACAAAGCTAATCCCTATTACGGAAGCCATTTGGTGCATGAATCGACTTTGGAACCAATAACTGACTGCTAGTTTTGGCATAAACAAAAAACTTTATAACTTAAGTGTGCCCGTGCCCCGTGGACAAGTTCATTTATTTTTGTTCAATGTGCACTTTCATAACAAGCTGACTTGGCTCATGTGAGCAGCCTCTAAATTGTTTATTTACCTACGTATTCTTCATTCTTCAGGATGACACCAAATTGTTTATAGGGTAAAGCGGGAAATCCAGGACTTGTTAATGAGGCAGAAGGCCAGGTTCAGTGGGGGATTGAGCGCAGCCAGAACAACAGGGTTTAGTCATCCCCATTTATGGGGAATCATCAAATCAACAACAGGGAGGAGCCTTGTCTTCACCTAGCTGGGAGGATCATCTTGCTGAGGAATATCACTCCTGCCAGCCACTGTGCCTTCCTTGCCAGCAGCAGCCATTGGTGGGAAGACTGCTTTGTTTATTGCTTAATCTATCACTATTGAGCTGCCTGCCTTAGGGAGGCTCAATTTAAGATAGATTGAAAGGTAGTGTCTGTCAATTGAATAAACACAGATGGTTTTCCACAGCAAAAATTGATTTTTTTCCTTGCCAACGACATAAGCGCTAAATGTGATTATCTTTGGAAGCCAGGCGTGAAATGTCTTAGTTCCAAGCCTCTGCCACACTCCACCCTAGAAGAGAGGTGATACTACATGAGAGTGTAGGTCTATCTCACTGTGATTGTAGGTTCTTGAAGTGAAATAAAAAATTTGACTTCCCTGGAGAAGGGTCTGATTGAGTCCATCCCAATTAGCTTTGAGTCAATCTATCAGTTGATTCATACAATAGTTTTTCCGGTTTTAGGTCACTGGCTGGCAAAGGTCTCCTCCAACGCTTTAAGTCTCAAAGACATTATAGGATTGCCTAAAGACACACAACTAAACATAGACTCCATTCTCTTCACTGGCCAAAAGCTGGGAGGAGTCCAGGCACAATCCATGCCATGAGAGAAACTAAGGGAGACATTAAGATGAATCCTACTTCCAAAATGTCTTTGGGAGCAGGTAGATCAGAGACACTTAAACAAGTTATGCTAGGCACCCAGAATGCCTCCTTAACAACTACCTAGGAATGAAGTCACGTACACTCAAGAGTTTTGAAGAAAGCCAAGGGTAAAATTGTGGAACAGTGGTTCAAGGTAGCAGGTGCATGGAGATTGAAGGCTGAACAGGAAGAGTGCCCTTTGTATAATGAGGAGATTGAGCAATTTGTTTTCTTATATCTCATCCAGCTCTCATTAATGGGACATCATTCATACAAACAATCCCAAGGAGTCCCTGAAAGTCATAAAACAGTGAGTCTCCTTTCATTTCATGAACGTGAACATGAATGTGGAGTGGCAGTTCAAGGATTTTCCAAGGGTAGCAGAAGTGTGGAAATTGTGAGCATGTGGGTTCCATAAATACTTTCGACACAGAACTAGAAACAATGAGACTCAGAGACTTTTAGCAATAGAATGGAAGTTAACACTGTCCTCTCATTCTAGAGATGAAAAAATGAGTCTAGAGAAGAGATATTGATAGCTAAGGTCATTTAACTAGAGACAAAATTGGAATGTCAAGCTAAAAATGTTGGTTCTTTCTGCTACACTACCTGTCTTGATTTTGAAATTGTTCAGTGTAATTGTGGACTACCAGGAAAGCAGGCATGTCCAGTGTAAAAAGTTCATGCAGCAAACAGAAGTGAAGCAGTTTTATTCCAGCTAATATAACTGTAAACACACATCTTTACAACTGTCTTGGTCCTAGCCTCTATAGGTCTGCAGACAGTGAGTGCTTCCTTATATCAAGAGACAAAACTCTTTTAATACGTGACATGTGCAAAAGAGAGCTGATTGTTCTATCTCACCTGGGTGGAGAAAATTAGAACTAAAATGATCTTGGGATGTAAGGGATATACATTAGGGCACATTTGCAGAATTTGGATTTATCATTAGCATGTTTGCAATCTGTCAAATTGGTCTGTCTTTGAATAAAAAAAAACGATTTAGATTTCTAGAGTAAGATGGTCAAATCATTTTACTCACTTAGAAAAAGAGAAATATTTAAAGCCACTGTTTTTATGCACATGGGCTGTTTTGTGAATACTCTTACGTAGAAACAATGTATATAATGTAGCTGTTTTTAATCAGTTCTTAAAGCTAGGTCCTCTGTAACTTTGTTGTACATATTCTAGTAGAAATAAATATTACTGAACGTGTATTGATTTGTCTCCACAGACTACAGGTGAATCACTTGTTAAATGTAAACATGTTTCTACTTTCACTCCGATATGATCCCTTTTTCTCCTATGAAGCTACTGCTTCTATATAATCTAAGTAAGTACATTTGACTGAAAATCCTATATACCAAAAATAAACACTATAGTTTATGCACTTATAATGTTTGATGAATTGACAGATGATTAATTCCTCTCACCCCAAAAGGATTTCTCTTCTATGGTGGAACTGATTACAATTAGACAACAAAAAAAACTTCCATCAATTTAGAATTCAGAATGTGAGATATTACTCCACAGCCACACATGGATCTTTACATGTTTCTATGTGTTTGGTTGTGTGTTTGCCTTAAGTGTTTCTCCTATGTCCTCAGTAATGTCCAATGCTTAAATTTGTATGAACCGGTTCCTAGTGTTATCAATTTGGGAACTGTTATTCATATATGGAACTCTTTCATAGGGCCAACTTTTCATATTTTTTTCTTGCTTTGTGGTTATAATTATTCCTGAAATATGTCTCAAATCATATTTTTAAAGCTCTAGCTCCTGCTTAAAGAAATGACAAGGTGAAGTCTTCCACGAAGTGGACAGTCAATGTATAATTTCTCTGCTATATAAATTTGGTTCTTCATATAATTTCTATGACTTAATTAGCCACACCTGTATATCAGGGTTTGATGCTTAAAATAATAATTTTCTATTTGGTATCTTTTCTCAAAAAAAGGAAAGTTTGCTCTACAGCAGAAGAAGTATTCACAAATTGAAATGGAAACGGTATGCCTTGATGGGCCTTTCAAACATAACAGCGACCCATTTAGGCCTCTCCCCAACCTGCCTGTATCACTCCTGAGCCTTACAAAGGGTCTTTAGAGGGTACAGCGATAACAACAGATGTGAGGGTTCCTTACCAGTGACAGAGCAAAACCAGGGGGCCCCAGCCGGTCGGGGTCAAGGGTCAGTCTAGACATACCCCTCATGACAGATGTTTCCATTGATAAGGCTGAAGGTGGCTGCAGAGGGATTGGCACTCTTGAGGGAGGTCATGCAGGTGGTACTTCTGCCGGTGCTGTGAGATCGGGTTAATAGGCCAGGCTGGCAACAGAGGAGCTGGGTGTTGAACTGCTTTCTGAAACTCTTGCTCAGCAGGTAGAGGGCAAAAGGGTTGACACAGGAGTTGGTGAAGGCCAGGAGGCGGGCGCAGATACTGGTGACAAAGTGGAGCATGGAGGTGTCCACCTTGGAGTAGTGGTAGGAGCGGTACAGGTAGATGACATGGTTGGGGAGCCAGCAGAAGGCAAAGAGGGCCACAAACACTAGCACTGTCTTGGCAAGGCGCTTCCGGGATTCAATCTGAGGAGAGAGTCACACACAGAGAGGACAGAGGGACCAAGGAACAGTGTGGGAGGATTGTAGAGAAACAGAGATTCAGAGAAAAAAAGACAGGGAAATAAAATTAGGGAAAGAAGCAAGCTCGTGAGGTCACGGAAAAAGAGTTTAATAGGAGAAAGGGGACAAGAGAGAATCAGATAAATCAGAGAAAAGCCACAGAAACAGACAGAAAAAGAAAAACAGTCAGAAACACAGAAATGAAAATGTCAGGAAGCAGAAATCCATGAAGTAGTATACAGTTAGATCATGCCACTAAGAACAGATTTTTAACCAAAGTTGATTATATGCTTGGATGGATTACATACTGAAATTTTAGTAAATGCTCTGCTTTTTCTCAGGAGGGCATTGGTACAGTTTATCAGTCATATGACTTCATGTCTTTCTTCACAGTTAAAAATTTCTTATTCCCTTTGATGCTCAAAGAAACAATTAGCTTTGTTCTTCCTCAATGGCCAAACCAAGATAACTAGCCATCATTATTATTATTATTATTATTATTATTATTATTATTATTACTAGAGGCCCGGTACGGGGGGTGGAAAGGGTGTCCCTCAGCCCAGCCTACACTCTCTCCAATCTGCGACCCCTCGAGGGATGTCAGACTACCTATTAGGATCGGGCCTAAACAGGCAGTCGGACATCCCTCTCACAATCCAGGACTGCTGGCTCCCAACTACTTGCCTGCCTGCCTTCCTGATTGCCCCTAACCACTTCTGCCTGCCAGCTTGATCACCCCATAACCACTTTCCTGCCAGCTTGATTGATGCCTAAACTGCTATCCTGCCAGACTGTTTGCCTCTAACTTCTCTCCCCTGCAGGCCTGGTCACCCCTAACTGCCCTCTTCTGCAGGCCTGGTCCCCCCAACTTCTCTCCCCTGCAGGCCTGGGTCCCCCCAAACTGCCCTTCCCTGCAGGCCTGGTCACTCCCAACTTTCTTCCTCTGACGGCCTAGTCACCCCTAACTGCCCTCCCCTACAGGCCTGATCGCCCCCAACTGCCCTTCCCTGTAGGTCTGGTCCCTCCCAACTGCCCTCCCCTGCTGGCCTGATCACCCACAACTGCCCTCCCTTGCAGACCTGATTCCTCCCAACTGCTCTCCCCTGCTGGCCATCTCATGGCAGCGATCTTGTGTCCACATGGGGGGAGCTATCTTTGACCACATGGGGGCAGCCATCTTGTGTGTTGGAGTGATGTAAATTTGCATATTACTCTTTTATTAGATAGGATTATCATTATTATTATCATCATCATCATCAAGTTATTTATGGACTATACTAAGGGTCTACACTTTGGCTCCCTACTCCCTCTGCTACTGCAAGGGGAAGCATCTTTCTCATTAAAGAATTTGGGATACAATATACGTTTGCTATTGAGAGGTCTTTCAAGTAGGGGGACAGTTTCACTAAGAACTGTCACCCTCCTCTTACAATTAAGGCCTTCCCCTCCTCCAGAAAAAAACTATAAAGGGTGAAGCCTCCAACTAAGTCAGCTATACAATGAAATGCATGGGGCATCTTTATGTTTCTCCATCATTAGTACATCATCTACATTTGGAGTGGGAGGCAAGAACGGACAAAGAGGAGAAAGCGAGAGCCCCTGATTTCTACAACTCTTGCCTCAAGGATGAAATTATAAGGGTTTACACAGATGGGCAAGGGAATCTAACATATATAGAGGGCACCCTGCATTTTGAGCAGTCCAGGGTGTACATACGCTCTTTTGCAATCCTCCAACAGCCTTACAATATAGGGGTTATTACTCTATGCCATGCATAAAGGAATTGAGGCTCAGAGAGAGTAAGTCATAAAACCTGGATTTGAACTTCAATCAGTGTGAGCCAGTCTTAATCAAACTACTTCTTTTTCTTCAACAAGCCTCATCTTCCTGCCTCCTCTGCTTTCCCCCATGTGGAAATCCTCTTCCTATCCAAACAATGTGATTGGAATTTAAAGAAGTCACATCCTTGGGAGCCGGAATATTTTATTTTTTTAAACAATAAAACAATACTTTTTTCAGATATTTCTCAAAAAGAAACCCACACTACAAATCCTTCAGGTTCTCAACACTTCCTTAACTTATAATAAGAGAACAAGATTATAAAGGGCACCCAAATTTTTGGGGCTTCTGTGGCTAGGAGTTTCCATTTACCATCTGAAAACTTGATCACCCATCTCCTCTAATTACAGAATCAGGTGACATGACCATGACAATATTGTACTGCGGAGTCCAAAAGAAATGCAAGGGATCAGACCTCCAAGGAGGAAATTAATCATTCCTAAGCACCTACCTGTTTCTTGACATGTATATTCCCTTCCACAGGCAGATTGTAAGCACTCTGGATCAGATTTTTGGCAATGAAGTAGTAGTAGACAGAAATAATCGACAGTGGGATGATGTAGAAGATCAGAAAGGAAGCCATGGAGTGGATTTTGGGGTGCAGCTCATTGGAGTGTGGGTATGGGGCACAGCTGATGAAGGTCTGATTGGTGCTCTCCTCATGGAAAGGATGTAGATCAGAAAACACCGCTTCTGGAATGGCCAGGAGCATGGAGATGATCCAGATCAATGCGGCTTTGAGGCAGATCTTCATCAGGGCATGAGAGGCCTGGATATCCATCGGCCGGACAATGGCTTTGTACCTGGGGCAGGAAAGAGGAAATGTTCTGTGTAAGTTGCCTAATATGATGGAGATTAGGGCCAGGACTAGGGTGAGGCAAATGAGGTACTTGGGTGCAATATGCAAGGAGGTGCTCACTCTCAGGTTCATGCAAGTGCCCCCTCGGTACACAACCCTACAGTGAGTGGCACCCCAAGTACCTCACTCACTTTATTATTTAAAAATTTTTTTAAAATATTTTATTGAATTAATTAATTAATTATTTTTATTATTATTATTTTTTTTGCAGAGAGGAATGGAGAGGGATAGAGAGCTAGAAACATCGATGAGAGAGAAACATCGATCTGCTGCCTCCTGCACACCTTCTACTGGGGATGTGTCTGTAACCAAGGTACATGCCCTTGACCAGAATCGAACCTGGGACCTTTCAGTCTGCAGGCCGAAGCTCTATCTACTGAGCCAAACCGGTTTCAGCTGCCTTATTCTAGTCCGGGCCCTGAAGGATGCCTTACCCTTTCTCCAGCAGTAACATTCTGCCCACATTCTCTCTTGATTTTAAGATTAATTCTAAGGAAAGATAAAGCTTCTTTCATTTTTCTTCTTAAATCATAGGAGTTAATAACAAAGCATGTTTAAAGGACACAGGGACAAGAAGGTTGACTTTTTTAATTTTTTTACAAAGCCTTCAATTTGAGTATTCAAATGCAGTGTAGGGAACCTTGAGTTATTGAGTATTTACATATATATATATATATATATATATATATATATATATATATATATATATATATATTCCTTTTCAAAGTATATGGAATGAATAGTCTGCTGAAAACATTATACACAGGAGCATCGCTATAATTATCAAAGTCATCTTTCCCCAGCCCTCCTACTTTAAGCCTCATCTTCTCTTGTAGTATTTTTTTAAATGACTATTGAGTAAGGTATCACATATTTGTCATCATCTCCCCATTCCCATCCCAAACCCCTTCCTACACATGCCCACACCCCCCTGGTGTCCATTCCTGTGCCACAGGTATCCCTGTCTTAGATCAAGTGTTTTGGAAGCAGACACTAAGATGAAGTCAGGAGGACAGAGTTTTCTGAAGAGTAATACCTGTGAAAGGAAAAAGGGAAGGGAACAGGATTGGGCAGTGGGAGCTGTCAGACCCCGATATAGACCTGACAAGGTCTACACCAGTCAAGGTGACCAAACATCTTCACTTGCCTGAAAATTTCCCAGTTTTAGCATTGAAAGTCCTACATCCTGGAAAATCTCTGAGTCCCCTACATCCTGGGAAATCTCTGAGTCACCTAACACCAGTTCAGTGGGAAGCTCAGGAATAAAGATTGTCTAATGGAGGAGTCCTATCTTTGATAGAATTGCCAGGCCCTTGTATCACCACCTTGCTTAGTTGAGGTCACACTCTTTTGGCCACCCAAGAGTGTGGTTCAGTCTTATGTGGTTCAGTCACTGGGCACAAACTATCCAAGAACATGACTATAGCTTGAAAGCTGAAGTGGGCCTGGTTTAATTTCTTTTAACCAGTCTATGTCCTGTTTCTAAATTCTCCATCCCTTTCCTGTCCCCCTCCTTTCTTCATGCTCAGTCCCAGAGTTTCCAGTCATCTGAATCCTACCTTCCAAATTTCAGCTTATAAGTATCAACTTGATAAAGCTTTTGCCAGCCAATCTGGACCTCAGTAATTTCCATTCTTTCTCCTAACCTGTTTAATTTTATGACAGGATTATTGACTCTTCTTGTTTTATGCTTACTATGCACTACCTTGAATTGTTTTCCAGATTTCCATGGATATGTCTTTTTTACCTTTCTCATAAGTTTCCTGAAGTCATAAACTTGTATCTTCTCCTCTTCTCTTCTGTCTATAATTCTAAAAATATTCCAGGTCCCTTGTCCTACATACCACTTATTTCAAAGTAGAGATTCAGCAACTACTTACTAATTGATCAATAATATGTGACTTGCAGATGCGTCTCCTATTTCAACTCTTCACAAATGAGAGAGAACAGATCCACGTTTACATATTTAGTAAGCATCATTCTTCCACAGAGTGACAAATTCACTCCTGTGATAATTTGGGGCTCATGACAATTCTTTCCCACTTCTGAAAACATCTGTGCTTCATTTTTTAAATGCAAACATTGAAAAGGTCAAAAATGTTCTCTGCAACAAGATTAATGTTTGAAAGCTATTCTTGGTAAGTAGAAGTAGCTGGCTCCCACATCCACAGTTGGAAGGAAACCTTTGTCCACAGAAAGGTACGGTCTTTTATTCAAATATGGGCAGTTTGTTTATTTTTAAGGATCCAGTATTTCAGCCCTTATTTGTCCGTAATCACCTTCTGAAGTCTGTAGGAATTGTAGAACAACAATGTTTTTAAATGTCCATTACAATCCTAATGCTCACTACCTAGAGAAGACTGAGGCTAAGAGAAAACCAAATGAACTAAATGAATCTCTAGGGTAATTGACACATTGTCAGCATTTAAATTAGAATTTTAATACCTAATAACAATTGACGAGACTATTGAACATGGGCTTTATTTTCTCACCAATAATTTCTCTTAAGAAATGTGAGGCAATTATTAGCTGGCTTATAAAATGACTATAATCCAGAGCAACGGAATCTTTTTTTAAAAATATTTTTTTACTGGCTTTGGAGAAGAAGGGAAAGGGAGAGAGAGATAGAAACATCAATGATGAGGAGAAATCACTGATCAGCTGCCTCCCGTATGCCCCACATATAACTCACTTGTATTCATCAAAACAAGTCAACATCATCTAAAAAAAATTTAAACCTCACCTGAGGACATGCTTTCATTGAGTTTGATAGAGAGAGAGAAGAGAGAGAAATGCGCTAGAGAAACATCAATCGGTTGCCTCCCATAGGCACCCAGACCAGGGATGGAATCCACAACCTAGGATCCCACCAATTGAGCCACCAGGCCAGTGCAGTCAACATCATTAGTTTAGAAGAATGCAAGGGCGCTATTGTTTTACCTTAAAAAGATTAAAGAAATACCATGAGCAATCCTTTTGCCAATATGTACTTATATCAAATCATTATGTTGTATACCCTAAATTTATCCAATGTTACTGGGGGGAAAGAAAGATATAACAATCAAATGCAATACATATGCTTTGATTTGATCCTAGATTAAAAAAAAAGCTATAAAAGACATTTTCTGGGACAACGGGGGAAATTTGATTACAGTTGCCTATTAGATGGCATTAAGGAATTATTGTTAATTTCATTAGGTATGATAATGGCATTGGGATTATGTAGAAGAGTGCCCTTGTTCTTAGGAAATACATACTGAAATAAATACTTAGGGATGAAAGGTCAGAGTGCTCCTTACTTTCCACAGTTGAGCAAAACAAAAGAAACACACACACACACACACACACACACACACACACACACACACACAAGAATAAAATTCACCTTCTTGTAAATTGCAATTTCCCTTCCATTGTGTTCTCTCCCTGTAGGCACCCATTATCTCCCTGAGAGCAACCCTTGCTTTGGGAAGGTGAATGCATATCAGTCATTTGCTCTGTAGTATGGACTGAAGTCAATGCGATCCCCTTCCTGTATGTAAAGTCCTACTTCTAGTTACAATGAGATACATTTTGGGGTGCAAATTGTGCTCCCCTTCACTGATATTGGGATTAAGAAAGAAAACCAAGTAAATAATCAGGATGCATGTTTTGCACCTGCTTTGGCCATGGTGAAAGTAGTGTGTTTCTAGGCAAACACAAAATTCCTGTTCTTCCTTGAGTCTTTTATACTAAATCTCCTGCCTCTTTCATCCCCATATACGCACCCTGAAGTTCAAATGCAGCCTCAGGCTTAGAGTGAGGTCTGGACTCTTTCATATATTCAGAGGCCTCAGGGCCTAACGAGGCCATGAGTAAGACCTTAGAGCCAACGTGAAAAATGGCTTCTCGCAAGGGCTAGAAAGCAGAGGTTGAACGAGGCTAAAAAAAGAGCTAGTGACATGGGGAAGGTATCAGAAATGCAGGTACTGGCTCTGTAATATGAGAGCTATAGAAGCTGAGGTATAAAATGGGAAGAGAGATGCAAGCCATTGTTGGACATCTGGTGGTGCTTCGGCAGAAGAAGTTGGGCAACTATTGAACCTTGGGCCCAAAACGAGTCTCAGCAGGATGAGCTCATTCTGAAGCTCAGTGTTAATGCTGTAAGGGAGCCATCAGGAAGGGCCTCATCAGGATGAAAGATTACAGTTGCCAGTGGGTATATTTAAAATGACAAAGGAGAGCAGTCACCCAGTGAAATTTCAGTAGGTGTGCGGACAACCTGGCACAAGTTGTTCCTAGGCCATTCCTCAAAAATGTTATGAAGGGAAGAACATATATTTATAACTCGCTGGACATTTTTTTTTTTTTTAGCAATTTGTGAGCCAAAAAGTTTGAAGAATGTTTACAAATCCCATTTCCAAATTGTCGTTAGACATGGCCTGCGTTTATTCTATTGCATAGCATAAAAGATACACAGAATGGGGAAAAATCACTCATGCTCTTGGGTGGAAGGTGTAATAGCCTCTGAGTCATAAACTGTCTTCATAAATTGTCATTCATCCCCAAACAGATCCTGAGACAGGATTTGGGTGCAAGTAGTTTTTGGAGGCAAGGGAATCCCAGAAAGCCTAGCGAGAAAATAGAAGGCAATAAGGGTGACCAATCTGGCCAACTTGAACACAGGCCTGCTGGGCGCCTCCCTGAGAGACTGAGCTCATCCTGGAACTGTGCCATCAGGGGGCCAGGAGGCCAGGCTGTTTACCTATCAACTCCCATTGCTTTTGGCCCCAAACTTCCCTTGGCCAGATATCAACTCGGGTAAGAAAAACATAGGAAGCCCAGTTCCTCTAGTGTCCCCCAATGTGCAAGGGATATGCACAGACCACCAACAGCACCAGCTATGTAAATTATTCTCCCAGGCCAGGCAGTTAATCACACATATCTACAGAAAATGAAATATCA